AAGAAACCCTAAATAAATAAAAGTCACTGCCATTGAGTTAATTCAATCTTGGTGACCCTCTCTCAGAGGAAAGAGTAGAACTGTTCCCGTGTGATTCAGAGATGGAAAATCTTCACAGGGGTAGAAAGCCTTATCTACGTCTCTCAAAGCAGCTGGTGATTTTGAACCGCTGACCTTGTGATTGCAGTCCAGCATGTAACCAACTACTCTACCAGGGCTTCTCAGACATTTTTGGCTAAATAAATGTATATCTTAAGAGCACTATAGGAACCCCAATCAAAAGATACAAACAGGATTAGTTGTATGACATACCATAACAAAGTTCTTGAAAACAAAACAAAAGCAAGCATAATTCTGCAAGCAACAAGAGAATAATGCAACATGGAATACCAAAGACCTTTCATAAGAATAAGTATGGCTTGTTCCCCATTAACTTAGGACCAGAGAAAATGAAGCAACATATATAAATACTGAGTGGAAACAATTGCTAACCAAGAATACTCTATCCAGTAAACTTAGCATTCAAATATGATGAGGTGAAAATAGAGAATCCCCAGTGAAGAGAGGTCTTTGGGAATTTGTCAGGACCAGACAAGCTTAGTACATAATTCACCAAAAAATATTATAATTACAAAGCACACATATTGAATATAAATTTTAACTGATAATAGAGATAGCAAAAGTGAAGGAGGGATGAACAGATCAAGAATAGATTTTGCTTATATGTCAAACATTGTTGTAATGGTATGCTGTGTAATATAAAATACAAAGCAACTGGGCAAAGTTAATGGAAAAGTACCATCTTACATAATTTTACAGACTTTTTGAAAAAAAAAAAGTTCCTTCGCATGTAGTAAGCATTAAGAAATCACCAAGAAGCAGCATTCGCTAGAATAAAATTTAGTAAATACTTCATCACAAGAAAATGCCTAACTATAAACAAAAAAGCAATGACCAAAAATAAAATATCAGGATGAAAACACCAAGATGATATAAAAGAGTAAGAAAAACAATTCATTGTCATCGATAACCTTAAAAGTCAATGGCATAAACTCCCTGTGGAAAATAAAGGGAGTGAAACAATAGATCAAATATAATATATGGTACATCCTTTTACTATCTTCAAGAAACACTGAGAGAGTGGGAGCATAGGCCGGTGGATGCAGAGGTGAAGTTAGCTGAATGAATCCACTGTTGGTAGGCTGCTGATGGCTCTGAAGATTGGCAGGCAAAGTAAAGAGGAGATCCAGCTCTGGCAGAAGACAAAGTCTCTCTCTCTTTCTTATATAAAAGGGGTTATTTATGCCAACAAGGAGGTATCATCAGACTTCAACCTAATTGATAGTTTGGCCTAGGAGTGTCTAGTTGACATAATCCTGAACCATAACAGAAAACATCAATAAAATAGACAAACCACTATCTAGATTGGCAAAAGAAAAACAACAACCCAAAACTGAAGATGCTATTTAATCAAATAAAGTAATGAAAAGGATGACATTACAACCAAAACAACAGAGTTAAAGAAGATCATCACTGAATACTATGAAAGATCATACAATAAGTTGAAAACCTACATAAAATTAACAAGATTTCAGAATATACTATCTACCAAAACAAGCATAAACACAGGTACAAAATTTAAACAGACCCATTTGAAAAGGAGAGATAGGTTACGTTATTGAAAAATTGTCAACAACAACAAAAAACACAGGACCAGATGGTTTCACCGGATAATTTTTACCAAATATTCAATCCTACGCAATCTCTTTAGCTATATTAAGGGAAAGAAACACCACTAAACTCACTGACACCACGTATAATAGCACCCAGGTGGATGAAATGTCTATAAATTAACTTAACTGAAGAAATAAGAGATTATATAACCAAAAAAAAATTGCTTTATAATTTTGTACTACAAGTACTAAAAAATACCTACAAAAGTGGAAAGTCATTGCATAGGTTAGAGTGCTTAATATAATGAAAATGTAAATACTACCTAAAGTGAGCTACAGATACAGTGCAATACCGATACAAATTCCACAAGCAGCTTTTTTTACTGAAATGGTAAAACTAGTCACCAACTTTAAAAGAAACTCCAAATATCCAAAACAATATTGAAGGAAAAAAACAAAGAAGGAAGCCTTATATTCCTCAATAGCAGAGCATACTACACAATCATTGCAGGGAAAACCAGACTGGTATTGGTTCAGCAATAGACTCATAGACCAGTGGAATCGAATTGGGACTCAGAATTAAGCCCAACTCTCTATGGACAAGGGGTAAAAGGCCATTAAGTGGGACAGAGACAGACACTTCAGTTAGTTGTAGTAGCTAATGTAGATGCTCTTTTAAAGGACCACAGTACTCAGAAGCGATAGTCTTCATTTTTAAGTAAATCTGTTATTTAGTGTGGACCCTTCTCATTCCCAAATCTTCCATTCTGGGTGTCCATCAACTTCCCTAATGGATGAAAATATTGATTAAATCATGCACTTGTTCTGGAAGACTGAAGATGAGCCATTGAAGAGATGGGGAAGTTACCTGGACAACCCTGCACCTCGGTTCAGCAAATTTTAATGGAAGATTTCGGAATGAGAAAGATCTCTGTGAAATTTGTGCATCAGGTTCTGTCTGACCAGGAAAAAGATCATGGATGGAAAACATGCCATTCTTTGAAAGAACAGATCCAAAAATACCCAGCCTTTTTTTTCCAAGGTCATTACTGGTGAGGAGACATGGAGCTATTCTTATGACCCTGAAAGTAAACATCAATCAAGCCAATGGAAAATGCCAGTGTCTCCTCGCCTCAAGAAAAGCTCATCAAGAGAAATCAAAGATCAAGATGATGCTCCTTTTTTTTTTTTTTTTAAATGTGAGTGGAATAGTGCATTTGGAGTTCATTCCACCTGGTCAGACTATTCATCAAGCTTTCTATTGAGAGGTTCTGAAAAGATTGGGTAACAACATGTGACCAAAAAAGGCCCAATATATGGCAGTGTAGACCGGGTTTTGCTGCCACGACCATGCGCCTGCTCATGCAGCCATCTCAGTGAACCAGTTTTTGGCAGAAAAGAGCATGCGCCTCTTGCCCCACGCACCTGCCTCACCTGACTCACTCTGTGACTTCTTTTTGTTCCTTTGAATGAAGGAGGGACTTGAAGGACAGCAATTTGATGGCACCGAAGAGGTGAAGAAAAAATGAGGGAGGTGTTGTCAACCATCCAAACAGAAGAGTTTGAAAAATGTTTCCAAGAATGGAATTGCAGATTTGACACAAGCGTTAAATGTAATGAAGAATACTTTGAAGGTGGTAAGGTTGTTTCATAAAACAAATTTAAATACATAGCTTTGAAAAAAAGTTTTCCTTTCTGGAGGGGTATCCCCTTATATGTGTGTATATGTTTATGTGTATGTGTGTGTATCATAAAGAATCATCTGTAGAAATCAAGAGGCAAAGTGGAAATGTTTAGAGGCTATATTGGCTTAAAATGCTCATGATAATACTTTTTCAATGCTTGGTAGCTTTTGCTAGGAACTACTATCCCATGATAAACTTATATGGCAATTATTCCCAGTCTTAATACTTTTACAGTAGAAATAAAAATTGGCAAGAATGGACCATGTCTACTAAAGGTACTAGGGGAATCTGGAAGCTACTTCTTTTCTTACTTGCTTTGCAGCTAATTCCATCTTAATTCTCTAAGGAGAAATTGGATTTGCCAGCCCTGGAACTAAGAAATATTTTTCTTATACCCTTTTCATAAATGTTTGCTGAAGGTAGATGTGCTTCACATGATTTACTGGAATATGCATATTAGAATGCCTTTACATCCCCCCCCCCTTTTTTCTTTAGTTTTGGCAAAAGGATGGCCTTTGTGATCTTTGTAGTCTTAAAATCTTCTTATTTAACTGATCTAAGGCTTTGATGTTTTCCACATTCCCTGTGAGGCCTTCTCAGTGCATGTCCCACTTTAGACCTGAGCTTTTCTACTGCTTTGCTGGCTTATTCCCTGCTTTATTTGCATGCAGTAGCACTTCGTATGTGAATCATGTAAGCAAAACAATATTGAGAACTGTATCATTCTCAATTCTAGGCTCTGACAGAGAGTCTCTTAATAACCTTTAACTCTTGCCACCTATTGACTATGACTGAGTTGTAAAAGCATCTATATCTATACCTCAGCACAATAGGGACAGATACAGAATGGGTATGATTAGATTTCTTCCATTGTGGATCCCTAAGGTGCTCTAGTGGTACAGTGAATAATTGCTTGGCCATTGGCTGACGTAGAAAATTCAAACCTACCTGCTTCTGCATGCCAGAATGGTTTGGCAGTCAGCAGTGGTTTGTAATGATTTGTAATTTGGAAATCCTACGAGGCAGCACTCGCCTGACCTAGATTGTCAGTCGGAGTCAGAATCCACTCAGTGGCAATGGACTTGGTTGGGCTTTCGGTGTTCTCCCGGGTGTGTTCCCAGAATAGTTCCTTTATTCCAAAAAATATTTTGCCTTTCTAGTTCCCCGTTTTGAGTACTATCCCATGATTAGGACGTGTGATGAAATGGTTCCATCACAGTTGGATTCTCCTATAGCAGAGTTTCTCAGCTGGGAAAATTATGGAATCTTGGTGAGATTTTTTTTTTGTCATGGGGGTCTGTCCCGTCCATTGTAAGATGTTTAACTACATCTCTGGAATCTCCCCAATGGATACTAGTATCACCCTCCCCATCCTAATTTTGACAACTGTTAATGTTTTCAGAGATGGCTAAATATGCTTTGGGGCACAAACTCTGCCTTGATTGAGAACCATTGTCTCACAAAATGACCTTGTACTTTAGAAATTCGAAGAAATAAGAGAAGAGTACATTTCTGATCAGCATGTTTTAAGATGTTTTAAATTTTCCAGTTAGATTTTTACATATAGATAATTTGGACAATTTCCCTAAGAGCGATAGGAACGGTAGCACGGTAACCTTCATTTCAAACCCGAGCTCTTGGTTTACTCTACCTTGCTCTTCTTTCCGTAGTCAGCCTGTAATAATCTCAGTTTCTTTCGAATCTCAATCAGAACGTCAATTTTCTGATCCAAAATAGCCAATAACTGGGCAATGCAAAATTCAACACCATAGTTTATTCTGTCAACTGCCTCTTGTGTGTTCATGGGCCACTGGTTGGATTCCTTCAACAAGACCATAGCGTTCTCCATTGATGGGGTAGATGATGTTTCCATTTCCCTTTCACTCTCTCCTTCCTGCTTGTTCTCTATACAAAGTGTGTTCATGCATTCCTCCATCCGAAGGGGCATCTCTGGACTATTAGCGTGTTTTTCTATCATCTTCATTGCTTCACGTCCAACTGGAAAGAAACTACGATGGGGCGGCCTGACGTGGAAAGTTAATTCTTTCACTCGGTTGGCATAGCGTAAAGTGTTGAGCGTGTTTTCGCAAGAGGCCATTCCTGGAGAGATGGTAGCAATCATGCACGTGGAGGAGTTGGGGCCTATAAAGGAGTCTCGGAGCACCTGTGTGAGTTTACTGGCTCTAAAAGGAGTGTGGGTTTTTTTCTGGCCCAGAGCTCGGATGCATTCCTTGAGGGCCAGAAGACTCTTGTTAATTTCTGCTCCTTCCAGTTGCCTCTTCCGGTTGGCCTTGGCAGTGTCCGCTCCTCTTTCGTTGCCAGCTAAGTCCACAAGGGAAAACTTGCCGTGCAATTCCCCTTGTAACTTGAGGATGATCTGGAACACCGCGTGGCTCCTGGAGGAGTGGGCATTGACAGATGTCTGCCCCGAAGTCCGACAGCTGTTCCCTCGTCCCACGAGCTTTAAAACGTCCTCTACACAAGACACTTCTTGTTCCCGCAGGCCAACCACCTGAATATGCTGGTTTCCGTCTTCAAGGACTTGTAGCTTCTTCTTCCAATTCAATAAGTCATACACCTTCCCCCCATAAATCTCAAAAAACGTCCCGTAGACTTTGAGGCTGAGCTTCTCATATGCGGGATTTGTGAGCAGAAGGAAGACGTCCCGAGCTACCAGGGCATAGATGCCCTTAGAGCAGTCCTGGTCCACGCCCGAAAAGGCTCCGCCCATGGTGTGAGTTTTCCCACTCCCCGTCTGCCCGTAGGCGAAGCAGGTGGCCATGCCCTTGCGGAAGATGGATTCCACCAGAGGCTGAGCGGTAAACTGGTACACTAGCTCATTAGAAGCCGTGGCGTCAAAGGCGTGGTCAAAGCAAAAGATCTGGTTCTCCAGGTAACGCGTGAGGTCCACCTTCTGCTTGGACTCGTGCACCATGACCACATTATTGGAAGGGATGGTGATGATGTCTAGGTCCTTCATGACGGTCTCTCGCTGGTTGAGTGGCCGCTTTCTCACGCAGACGCAGATCCTGTGGTCCTCCAGGGGCTCCGGTTGGCACATCTTGCTGCGGTCCAGGTGCCGGCGCGACTCTTCGATCATGCGCATGAGCTCCAGGTTGGGGTTTCGTGTGTTGACCTCCCGCGCCCGCTGGGCTCGGATCTCCAGCTGCTGCCGCCTGCGCTCCTCCCGCTGTTTCTGCAGCTTCTCGATTCCCCGCAGACAAGGGGACCTTCTCCGTTTCATCAGCCGAGGGTTGCTGGGGACCTCCACGGTGGGGCTGGCCCCGGAAGGCATTTCATCCTTTTGAGGGACCATTGCCACCCACCGAGTGGCCGTACGCTGGTCTCCATCACAGGAAGGGGGCACGAATGACAAGGAGGGCCGTGGCCTGGACAGCACGGGGTGTTCTGCCGAGATCAGAGCTGGGTTCAGCAGGAATAGGGTCTCTAGATCAATCTTCTTGCCTTTTTTCACTTCTTTCTCCACCCACTCTACGGTGACCCGAGCATTTTCTATGTTGACTTCCGTGACCACAGCGAGGTGAATCCGCCCGTCGCTGCGCTGGATCGCCACGCAGATGCCGACTTGGATGTCTCCGAAGTGTGGCCTCGAGGGTTTCAGAGGCAAGCGATGCGGAGCGAGTGGCAGGCAGAACTGGCTGGCCATGGCAAGTGGTGGAGGTGTCAGGGCTCAGGGAGGTCGGTGGCACTGCCAGGGGCCCTACGTGTTGGAGTGACAGGACCGGAGCCCACACCAGCCCGAAGCTCTGGGAGCACTGAGGGTGCTCCCTGTTTCAGCCTGCCTGTGTAAGGGGCACGCCCGCCGGACCAGGCTGTTTCCTGGTGCTGCGTCACAAAGGGCAGAGGAGGGCCCCTTTCTTCCATGCAGGGTAGGTGGTAGAAGTCAAGTTCATAGCTTGGAGGGAGGGAGCACACGTTCTCTGCAGAAGGACTGGGGTAGGAGGCGGGCAACTTTCTGCATATTGGTATGAAGGTGCATGGCACAGAAAATTCATGGGAATTGTGGGATTGTATTTTCTATTTTCCATGGTCATTCTCCTGCCTAAGCGTGAGAAACCCCCTTGACCTCTGCAGCCTTGACCTACCATCTCAAAGCTTTCCTTTGCAAACCGGAGAATCTTCCCTTCAACCTCAACTCGCCAGAGATCCCTGAGAACTAGAGGAAGTGGAGGCTGTTTGTAAAATCACAGGCTTTGACATTCAATAGCATATGCTGGGGCGCGGCCCGGGCGGCTCAAACCTGCCTTCTCTCTGCGTTCCTCAGGCCCTGCAAAGCGTCTTTAACTTTAACAGTCACAAGTTAGTTATTCGAGTTTAATGGGGTTTCTCATTACAAAATGAAAATGAGTTGTATGTAGCAGGTCATTGTGGTAATTTGCTAATGTGGAACTTCGCTGGGCGCAGCAGCTGGGTTTGTAAACACGAGATGTTCATCGCATTCCAAGTGGCTCTGACAGCTACAAAATGTATGCTGCCGCCACCGCCATTTTGGAGATTAGCTCTGTAATTACGATTTCAAACTCTTTTAGTAATTACACTTCTGGCCTCATTATCTATAATTTTGAGAGATGGGAAATACGTTTGATAGAAAGAGGTAATTCATCTTCTATCCCCTTCCCACTCCCAAAATATACATGTGTCCTTCAGAAGTTGCTAAGGGGGAAAACGGTAGCTCAGACTATAAGAGGGAAAATACTATTTTAGAGATATTGCGAAATTTGTTGTGGGATCATTTATTTGTTTGCTTGAAGATATATATGTATACATATATGATCATTTATTTGTTGCTTGGAGAAATATATATATGTATATGTATGTATATGTATGTATGTATGTGTGTGTGTGTGTGT